CTACCATGGCTCACGAGCTAGGTTCTCGTGATCGCCACCCACCTCGCGAGATGGCAACGCTACTGTCACATTGATGAGACCCTGGACACAAATAGCACCCAACGGACCAATCAAACACCGCGCGTGAATTTAGACGGACGCAGGTACAGTTCCGCGATGCAGATCCCAGCGACGACCTACGGGACAGTAGATAAAGGAGGTTCTATTTGTGGCCCGGAGAAGAGATTGGAAGGATTTGCAAGGGTCCAGACACGATCCACAAACCTAGTCTTGACGGGCCGTCAGAGTACGGATGGAACAGGTCTTTGTTGCTTGGGAGGTCGGTTGGGGCAGATGAGGTATTTGGAATATCACACAGACTTTTGGCAATAGAGATCCGATCCGCGGTTTAGTTGCCCTCGCAAGAGAGTGATTGGTCCTCCGTCAAGTGGGAAGCTGCGGCTACCTCTATCTGGTCTATAGAACGTTCTAGAAGCTATGTCTTCTGTCTTGCATAAACCTTCCTCGTAGAAAGTATACTCTCTTTGAGCCCGACCCATCCTCTCCATCTGCCAAATTCGATCGCCAGTCTGATATCTCTAGCAGATAGCTTGTAGAAACCATGCTAATTATGTAAGGACAAGATAGTAGATCTAAACAAAGTCATTGGTGTGTGCACTAGAGGCCGAGAAACCGATTGGTCCCGGCCGACCCACAAAGTCTATTTCAAGCACCCAGCGCATCTTGACCGTTACTCTGGCGACCGAGAATATTTAGGAATAAAGTTGTTTCCTTCTACAATATACTATATTTCGCTAGCGTGAGACCTTGGAGAGAGTACCTCGATTTTCCCTCTGAATTTTCGGATTCTGGGACAGATTTAATCACGCATCGAATGGAATCAACCGAATGATCAGTTTTGATGATTATTGATGGTAAAGACTGAATGGGGGCGCTGTTGAAATACCCTCAGGCTCAGTGCTCTGTTAATTGGCGATTACAACGCCAAGATCTCAGCTGAGCCCAGAATTATATACAACTTATATGGGAACATAGGTAGAAGTGTGACCAATCAGTTACTAGTGGTAAGTTACCACTGTATATCTCGACATAAGGTTAGCCCATCAGCCTATGATAACAGGGAGGAGTACCTACATTTCTCTAGGTCATTCCAGCGCATGAACCCAGGATGATGCAACCGGTCTCTCTCTCAGAAAGGCCCTCAAAAGCTTTTCTCTTTTCAGGACAAGTGCCGGTGATGATGCAGCCAGTTTCTCTCTCAGACAGACCCGCAAAAGCCTCTCTCTTTTCAGGGCAACTACCAAGGATGATGCAGCCAGCTTCTTTTTCAGAGAGGCTTTTCACGGCCTCCCTCTTTCCAGGGCAATTGCCTGTGATGATGCAGCCAGTTTCTCTCTCGGACAAGAGGCCTGCCAAGGCATCTCTCTTTTCGGGGCAATTGCCTGTGATAATACAGCCAGTTTCCCTTTTCCCTGGGTCTGGCAACGCAAGGATTACAGGAGTCAAAAGTGGAAGTAAAGCAATAAGGCGCATTGTGAAGATTGAGAAAGTGTGGATATTCAAAAATATTTAAGTGACTAGGGAATTGATTGTGAGAGAGATGGTTGGGACTATATTGAAGTTGGAAGTCTCAGGGTTTTATACCAGTGCTCGGAAATTTATTAAGCTCCGTAATTATATAGTGCGCAATATAAATTAGATGAAAACGAAAAAACCCCGCATTTTCAGCCAGTGGTCACTCTTGGACCCCAAATTCCCGACACCTCTTGCAGCTGGGCGCGAAGTATATACTGCCCTAGCCTATCTAGGTACAAAAGTAAGACCCGTTTTGATATGGTATAGTGACCAACTTCTCCACACTTCAGTAACCGAACCTAGTGTAGTGGGGAGATGTGTCCTCCAACTATTGTATATAGGGCGGCCTGCATAAATTATGCATTCTGCCAGTAGATGACCAGCCTCCAAAGCTGCAAGTTAGGAGTAGCATCAATAAGACACTCCTACACCTGTCTCACTACGTGGCCTGTTATGCCAGAGACTACATGCGTGCTGGTTGTGGTGGTTTTGATGCCGTATTCATGTTCCATTCGACCCGCACGGCCTGATCGTGCTGCCTAGAGCATTCCCCCTCATTCACTGGGTAGATCGGATCCAGAATAGCAGGACTGTATGGCATGGATGTAACCTAACCTGCCCCACATAATATTCGTAAAGATATGACGTGGGCCGATTATTCTCTTTCTCCAAGCCGGCTCACTTAACCGGACTATATTCCACACCGGTCCGGTTGAGAAGCCAGTTAGGTTTGAAGAGCGTCAGCCACCTCGGAATGCTTAGTTTACTTACCAAGAGGAGGGTCAAGCAATATTACATCGGCTCGGTTAATCTAGATATTATAGTAGGTGATCCATTCACAGTACTATATGTAGAAGCAGCACTGTGAGAGAGGACACCTTGATGTAGTCGGTGGCCAATTCGACTTGGTGGGTCACTTGATCACTACCCATGGAAACCAGGGAGGATGCCATGCCAGAGCACCCCTTAATACAACAGGATGCCAGAGGGTAACCCTGTATAGAACACGCCTTTATCATATCTGGTTTGGGGATCAGCCCACTCCTTACCCTTTTGTAACTTCTTATCTAGGGACATTTAGGAATGGCTTGGCAGCGAACACACATTTCAGGATAGATTGTAAGAGTGTCTTTAATACAAGCTGAGAAGTTTCTAAACTCGTCATGCCTTTTTCCAGATTTTATTGGAGACTTGAAAAGGGAAATAATATCAGCTCGAGATCACTGTAGATTGCTTAAACCTAAGCTCCTATATGGAAAAGAAGAGAAAAACAAAACAGAAGGAAACAATAAGTTAAGTAAGTTATCCCGAGTTATCGCATCCCTTTCATTTTGTATTGCTCGAAGAAGCCAGGGTGCATTAGAGTTTGTATGAAGGTACTGCTATGTATCTTTTGTAGGTGAGGTTTAATGCCTCCGACTACTGAGCACAGCCCAATTTGATCGCTGAACCAAACATTGATTAGTACCTCGGTTTATCAAAGTGATGGGTGGTGATGACTTACGGTTAGGTCCCTTGCTATACAGACAGTTATCCGCTCCAAAATAGGCCTCACTCCAAGACATTGGGATATCAACCTGAAGTTGACAGTGGGGTTGTTTGGAAGAGTCCAGACAAGCCTGGATGAGGGTATTTCCACCCACCCAACAATTGTCATCATAGGTCATATCTATGGGTGTACAGATTGTCGCGCCACTATTAACAATAATACAGCCCTTATTGACAGTCTATCGTAGCAAGTAAAGGATTAGAACTTTCACCGCCATTATATGGATATGACAGATAGGAGTTACTTACTAGAAGAGTATTTGCATGCGCAGCACCCAGGAGGCTAGCTGCAACCAAAAGAGCATGAGTAAAATGAAACATATTGAGTGAAGGATATGCCGGAGTGTTGGATAGACCAATCAACTGAAGTAATAAGGATGAAGACGGTTGATGAATACGGATGTCATCGGGCTTTTATATCTTTTTTCTTCTCAAGAAATGACATTAACTGTACTCCTCTGACAGAGGATTCAAGAACATCTTTCCTAATTTGGAGTTTCCGTGATTTTTAGCGACGATATTAGGAGCTCCGATTCATAGCACCCCAGAAACTATGGGGCAGCCATGAATTCTCCCCCTCCTCTTGCTCTGTATTTTGTTGAGGCGGAATTCTCGTAACTTCCGCGCCCGAGCCGTGTACTTTGTCAATGCAGGGGTTATAAGAGAATGCAAGGTTAATATTACTGCCTATTACCGAGTCTGCGTTTGAGAGGGTTATTGCTATGGCAAGACATTAGTCAAACAGGGCCAGTTTCTACATGGAGGTGGCATGTCCAAAAATATACAAACTTGGTTATACTTAATCTGAAGCCGTCTCTTTGCTTGCGACAAATTTACCTCGCTGATGAGGCCACTAGAGTGCCGCACTTAAGTGCAGTTGTGATAAATGACAAAGGAAGATGTTGTAAACACTTTGCTACTACTATATTGGATAGACACGATGCCGCTAGGCTTATCTGCCGATCCCCAACCGTTGTAGGGTTGCAGAATCCTGGGGAAGATCGGATTACCTTTTAGGGGTATGATCAACACGCCCCATGTTACATCGTTCGTGGCCAGTTCGCTCACTACTACCAAGATAAATGAATCGGAAATTGATGAAAAAGCTAATTAAATGGGGATATTTATCTATCAGGACATATGTGTACAGGGTATTGCCTTGGAGAGGAAAAGATAACCCCCTTGCATTAGGAGGATCCACGACAATCTCCTGAACCGCCTGTACATCATGGGCATATAACATTACCTGAACCTCTGCTGTACCTTGGGCAATAGACGCCATCCGCTTTTGGAATCATACACTTGCCTGATCCACTGGTTGTTGGCCCCGACGAGTAGACCGCATTACTTCGATCGGGAGATATTTAACTCCCGCTCTGTGTGGTCCAAAAAAGGAGGGAATTAAATATCCTATGACATGATAAAGAGGGCGTTTACCGTAGCTCACCCCCACGGAAACTCCAAATTGGGAAAAATAATCATGTTCCGGACCCCCTTTTCTTCTATGGTCTACCAGAGTGGCCCGATGACTCTCTCAAGAAGACATGTATAAGAACCCTTTCACGACTCACCGGAGTTGATTGATGTCTCCAGAACTTTCAATTCTTATCCATCCAAAATTTCAATACCACTTTCCTTTATCCGGCTCGACAGTCAACATGCTTCGCCCTATCAGTGCCCTTGTAGCCGCAGCATCTCTTTTAAGTGCAACAAATGCATACCGGTTTGTAAGTCGCTACTATCTGGCATATACAGGTAATGTCTGGAAAGATGCTAATCCTTTCTTGCTATGATAGTATGTCAATAGTGGCTGTGTTTATGTGAATGGCTTAACCTGCTGCGCCGGGTATCAGTCAGCTACCACTTTTGTTGATGGCATGACGTCAGTCGAAGCTTGTCTTGACAGTAATAATACCCCACACTGTTCACTCAATGTCAATGTTGGGGCCGACTCTGGGGATCTCTATTGGGGAGCCGACAACTGCCTATACAATGAGGGTGCCAGTAAGTTGATCCCCCTGCTCCCTGAACTTGTGCTACGCTAACATGTCTTGTTCAGCTACGAAGTATGGCTGCGCTACACCGGCCAATTAGGGTGCTGCCCCTCTTTACGAAACTCGTGTCTCTGATGAGAATCTGCCAGGATTATGGCTTAACGAATCATGTGGCAGTAAATTCCGCTCTAGTAAGAGCAGGAAAGAAAACACAGCACATGATTGCTGAAATCATGTTCAAGAGTGCACTGTGCTAAAAGTTCATTAATTTAGCAAAGTTCGGTCAGAAGTGGTGGGTAACATCTTCTCGCGGCCCGGGTATGACATGAGCTTAGATTAGAAAAAAAAAAAGAACTATCGCTCTTTCAGTACTACAGTTTTAACGATGTGAAAAACCTCTTTATGTCAGACAATCGAATTTCTCTTGTCAGGCTGAACAAAATTAGTAACCAGCAAAGTTGAAGGGAAGAGGAAGTCAATAACAAAATGGTGATGGGCAGTTGGCTAGTTTATATTCAGGAACACATTAATTATTGAGCGCCTTGGCCATAACGGTTAAATTATTGTTGTAGTTCAGAGGTATTAATTGACTTTTATTCTAGAGGGAAAGATGAGTTTTATATATACAACACGAAGCCAAGTTGATTGGAAATCAACTTGGCTGTCTGTATAGATATCTCGGAGCTAATTCCGACGGTGCGGCTTGGTTCCTGATCTGCACCAGCCTCATATCACAATACTATTCACATCTGCTCTTGCCCTTATAGAGGTGTTTTACATGCGACGGAATGAACATATTGCTTTAATACCACACCAAGTCTTGTGTATGTAGTTGAAGATTATATGTACATTCGGAATATTAATTCTAAGGACAGTACATACCGGGGGATTGGTGTGAGTCCAAAAAAGACAAAGCTGATCATATACAGCCATGTTCTTCCTATCTTAGGGGCCAACCCCTTCAAACATCTTAAGAGGACGAAGCAACAAGGAGAGAGTTGAAATGCGACTATATTGACTATCAAAAAAGGTCATATTTGTACGTAAGGTCACGCGACTACCGGTCTTACAATGATCACCATGAGGGCGATCCGCACATAAATACACAATCACACTAAAAGAGTGGCGGAATTAAATGGATTCCAACTAACTCAATCCTAGAGGATGGATCCACATTTCAACCCATTGTCTCACGGAAAAAAGCCACAGCTCTAGGCGTATGGGTTGATGACAGACTCAGTTGTAGTCGTGTCGTCGGTGCAGCATACACTGAACTCTTTGGTTCGATCCGTAAGACAGTCATCGGTGAAGTCCAGATCGGCCCAGGCGCCAGGCCACTGTACAAGGAGCTCGCAACCAGGAGTCACTTCAGGATCAGTATTGCCACTGTCAAACTTGGAATATATGGTAGCGTATTGAACGTGCTTTGTAATTTCATCATCCCCGACGTCTAGACCTATTAGCCTAGTTCCCCGATGAAGGACAATAATGCGACTTACGATAGGATTCAGTATTCTCGCAGAACCTTAAATCATTAATTACAATACAGTCGCCGCTGACATGCTATTTTCTGTATTAGTCGTGGATTGGAGTGACAGAACGCCCTTTCACGGATGTTACAGACAATGATTCGTAAGCCCCTAATAAAGCCATGGAGCCATGCTTTTACCTATATCTACTTTACTAAAAAGGCATTCCCCTTTTAATGGATGGATGTGATGAAAGGCTCTTAGGGGAGATAGAAATTAGAAATAGTGTCTCTCTTT